TGGGGGGGGGGAAAAACAACAACCCCCAATTTAAAACCCTCCCAGAAAAACCCCCAAATTTTTCCCTTTTCCCCTCATGGGAAAATTTCAAAAGTTTGGGGGCCCCCGGGGGTTCTTCCCCAAAACCCTTTGGGCATGGGAGGGGGTTGATGGGGGGAGTTAATTTGGAAATTTGGAAAACCCCCAAACCCAAGGGGGGGAAAGAAATTTCCCGCCCCCAGTAAGGGGGTATTTTTGCTGCGTACCGTTTACAAAAAAAAAAAAACAAAGATTTTAGGAAAAAAAGAAAAAAATCCCAAAAACAAACTCAGTTTTTTCAAAAATCCTTTAAAAAAATTTGGGGAAAGAAAGGGAAAATGAACCCCCAAATTTGATTTTGGAAAGCAATTCATTTTGCCCGGGAAAATGGGCCCACAAAAGAAAAAAAAAAAAAATAATTGGGGGGTTTAAATTTTGGGGGGCTCCCTGGGCCCGGGGGCCTTTTAAAGGTTTCAAGGCCGAAAAGAAATTCCCCTTTTAAATTTGGGGTGGTGAAATGGGGGCTCCCAAAAGGGGGCAGGGACCCCCTGTCCCTTGTGGGTGGCAAAGAAGCCTGGGGATTTGGTAGCCCCACTGCCCCAATTTTTCCCTTTCATTGTGGGGGCAAAAGGTTTGGGAAAAGGGCCCCAATAAAAACCTTTTTTTTGTTTCAAAAAATGGGGTTTAAATTGGGAGATGAAATTTTTGATTTGGATTATGGGCAAGTTTTGTTAGTTTTCCCCACAAAATGTAACCAAAAATTTAATTAAGGGGCCAAACTTTTTTCCAGTCCAGGGGGTGGAAAATTTAATTTTTCTTTTCTGCCCTTTTTAAACAATCCTTTTAAAAAGGGTTAAAAATGGGTTTGCAAAACTTGTTTTCAATATTTTGGGAAACGTTTTAAAAAAAAACCCCCAAACCTTTCCCCAAAACTTTCTTTTTACCCAAGGGGGCTTACAAAATGGGCCAGCTGGGACGCCCCCTTTCAAGGAAACCCCCTTCTCGCAGGGTTTTTGGGGGAAAAAGCAGGATCCTTTTGGACCTTTCCTTTTGGGCACCAAAAAAAGCCTGGGGGAATGGGTTTGTTCCACCCCTAAAGGGGGCCGTAAACCTTGGGTCCCCTTTATGTGGACCTTTTTGGTTTTTTAACAACCCAGGGGGGATGCGCCCGGAAAACTAAGGAAGAAGTTTCCAGGGGAACCCCTTTGATTTGGGAAAAGGGGCTATGTGTTTGGGAGGAAAAGGGAAGTTTTTAAAGGGGTTTTCCCCCCGTTTTTCAGTTTTTTAAAACCTTTTTCTGTGGGTAAATTTCCCCTCGGCACCCGTTTTGGGGGTAAACCCCCTGCGGTTTCGGTTTAACCAAATTATGATGAAAAGGCATCATGCCCTGAGATTGGTCAGTCACAATGCACTGTCAGGGTGCAGTGCATTGTGGGGCACGGCTGGCGAACAGCCCGATAAAACACCCGTACCGTTCACGTGTTCAGCGAACACATGAATGGCTCATGTTCAAGTCGAACTTATGTTCACCTCAAACATGTAGTCCATCACTAATAGCCACTAACCAGATCCAGAGTGGAAAATCACTTTGCTTGTCCGAGAGCCATGAACAACTCCTCTATAAGAGGTAGTGGGTAGGCATCTCTGTGCATATAGGCAACAGTCCACATAAAACCACAAACTTCAATCTTTCTTTTGCACAAGGACTACAGGGGCAGCCCAGGGACTGCAGCTTTCCAAGATCACCCTTCTCTGCAGCATGTTGAAGAGCAGATCCTTGACCTCCTGACACAGAGCTGGGGGAATGGGTTTGTACCATTCTATAATGGGCGGTGTAACCTCAGTGTCAATTGTGTGGACCATGGCTTTGGTGAACTCATAGTCTTCCAGGCTGGTGGCAAAGACTAGAAGAAGTTTCTCTAGCAACTGATGGAGTAGTCTCTGCTGCTGCAGAGGGAAGTTTTGTAAGGGTATTTTCAGCTGTTCCAGTAGTAGCTTGTATTGTGTCAAATGACATCACGGCAGCCTGTAAGGGGGTGCACACTGCTTCCAAGCTGGGTTGAGCTTCCAAGATGCAGTGATGAGGCACCATGTAAAGATCTGCGATGATGGCTGTCACGGTGTGCCTGCCAGGGAGCTTCCCCCCCACCCCCCTTGTAGTCCTTGTGTCCCTTCACACCCCCCCTTCTCATCCTGTAACGGCCCTTTGAAGCCGGGCCAACCAGGATATGTAACTTTTCACCCCTGCCGCGGTCCCCTTCCTCCCATCCGGCGTAGCCGGGCGGGAGGAAGATGACCCCCTGCGGCGAGATTCACATTGCTCCTGGCCATACGGCCAGGAGAAGGGTGACCTCCCGCTGGGAGGTTCCGGGACAGGGCTGCCGGCTTGACACCGTGCCCCCCCCCCCCGCGCCTGCACCCGCCGGGGACAAAGGCCGCGCTCTCTCTCGAGTGGCCCGTGTTGAGGGGCGTGCCTCGTTGCACGGGCAATGCGGCGCGCCACCCGATGTTCCCAGGGCAACCGGGAGCTTCCTGCAAAGCCTTAAGAAGGCAGATGCAGGGCTCTCCTGGTTGTTCTGTTCCGCTGCAAGTTGCTGGGAGTCTCCGCTGAGGCGAGACCCCCACAGCCACTCTGCTAAGACCCGGGGAACGCAGGATCATTACCTGCTGAGCACTCTGCATCACCCTAGGGAGATTGAGGATTATTATCCGCTGAGTACTCTGCATTACACCAGGGAGATTAAGGATTATTAAGGATTATTACCTGCTGAGTACTCTGCATTCAGGGAGATTCAGGATTATTACCCGCTGAGATTCTGATTTACCAGGATTATTACCCGCTGAGTATTCTGCAGGATTATTACCCGCTGAGTATTTGCATTACCAGAGAGATCGCGGATTATTACCCGCTGAGCACTCTGCATCACCCCAGGGAGATTGAGGATTATTACCCGCTGAGTACTCTGCATTACACCAGGGAGATTGTCAGGGCTCCCGGGTATGACCAGAGGTGTGTGACTGACGCAGGGAAACGCAGACTTCAGATATGTTATAAACAATATAATTTATTAACACTAACAATACAAACATAAACGCAGTGCAATACTAAAACATAACACAGTGCAAACTAACCAAACCAACCACCCACAGATGACAGTACATACAATGCAAGCGTCGTCAGGCAGGCCGGGTCAATATCAATCGGGCAGGTAGGTACAGGGGGAGCAAGCGGAGAATGGTCGGGGTCACAAGCCAGGTTCAGCAGGTAGCGGGCAGCGTGCTACAGAGGGTCAGGCAGAGGGATGGTCAGGAACGAGCCGGGGTCAGAGCAGGAGAAGTCAGCAGAGGTCCAGATCAGGCAGGGTCAGCAACAAGACAGGAACAGGAACAGGATGCAGGAACAAGATACAGGGCCCAGGAAAACCACACACCAAGGCAGAGTCTGCAGGTCTGGCCATCCCTTAAATACACAGTATAAACAGTTTGGCTGCAGTATAAGCAGTTTCAGGTGTTTGGCTGGCTGCAAGGTTGAGTCTCTGATTGCTGGGAGCACTCGCTGGCCAGCCCTGGTACTGCAGCCCATAAGGCAGGTGAGTCCCACCATTGCTGGCCAGTCCATTCCTGACAGTACCCCCCCCCCTCAAGGAGCGGCCTCAGGATGCTCCAAACAGTCCCTAGCTGGGCAAAATGTTCCACCGCCCGGGTCTGGTAACTGGTGGGATATCAAAGACTGGCACACCGGGCAGGACTCCGGGCAGCGGCACACCGGGCAGGACTCCGGGGCAGCGGCACACCGGGCAGAGGCACATCGGGCAGAACTCCGGGCAGAGGCACATCTGGGCAGCGGCAGACGCACACCGGGCAAGGCACACCGGGCTGGACCGGGCGGCTGGACAAAAAAAAAAAAAAAAAAGGCACAAAAAACAAAAACTCCGGGCAACGCACACCGGGCATGGGGCGACAGGCATCGGGCCCCCCAGGCGGGCGACAGGCATCGGGCCCCCAGGCGGGGCAACAGGCATCGGGCCCCCAGGGCGGAGCCGGGACGACAGGCATCGGGCCCCCAGGGAGGGGCGACAGGCATCGGGCCCCCAGGCGGGGCGACAGGCATCGGGCCCCCAGGCGGAGCGGCAACAGGCGCCGGGCCCCCAGGTGGGGCGACAGGCATCGGGCCCCCAGGCGGGCGACAGGCATCGGGCCCCCAGGCGGAGCGACAGGTCGCATCGGGCCCCCAGGCGGGAGCGCAGGCATCCGGCCCCCAGGCAGAGCGACAGGTCTCGGGCCCCCAGGCGGAGCGCGGGCGCCGGACCCCCAGGCGGAGCGACAGGTCTCGGGCCCCCAGGCGGAGCAGCGCGGGCGCCGGACCCCCAGGCGAAGCGACAGGTCTCGGGCCCCCAGGCGGAGCGGCGGGCGCCGGACCCCCAGGCGGAGCGACAGGTCTCGGGCCCCCAGGCGGAGCGGCGGGCGCCTGGACCCCCAGGCGGAGCGACAGGCACCGAGTCACCAGGCACGACAGTGGGCTCCGAGTCAACTGGCATGACCGCTGGCACTGGGTCAGACAATGGATCGTCTGGCTGGACAGCGGGCATCGGGTCACCAGGCATCAGGTCATTTGGCTCGACAGCGGGCACCGCGTCATCTGGCAAGGCAGTGGGCTCCGAGTCAACTGGCATGACCGCGGGCACTGGGTCAGACATTGGATCGTCTGGCTGCACAGCGGGCATCGGGTCACCAGGCATCAGGTCATTTGGCTCGACAGTGGGCACCGCGTCATCTGGCAAGGCAGTGGGCTCCGAGTCAACTGGCATGACCGCGGGCACTGGGTCAGACATTGGATCGTCTGGCTGGACAGCGGGCATCGGGTCACCAGACATCAGGTCATTTGGCTCAACAGCGGGCACCGCGTCATCTGGCAAGACAGTGGGCACCAAGTCACCAGGCACGACAGTGGGCTCTGAGTCAATTGGCACGACAGCGGGCACCGGGTCATCAGGTACCGGATTGTCTGGCTCGACAGTGGGCATCGGGTCACCAGGTATGACAGCGGGCACTGGGTCACCAGGCATCAGGTCATTTGGCTTGCCAGCCAGCGGGCACCGCGTCATCTGGCAAGGCAGTCGGGCACCAGGTCACCAGGCATTGGATCGTCGGGCTCGACAGCGGGCATCGGGTCACCAGGTATGACAGCGGGCACTGGGTCACCAGGCATCAGGTCATTTGGCTCGCCAGCGGGCACCACGTCATCTGGCAAGGCAGTGGGCACCGAGTCACCAGGTACGACAGCGGGCTCTGAGTCAATTGGCACGACAGTGGGCACCGGATCAGGTACCGGATCGTCAGGATCAACAGCGGGCATCGAGTCAACTGACCTAATAGGGATCATCAGGCTGGATCAGTTCATCAGGCTGAGGAGAGGCATCAGGCTGAGGAGAGTTCATCAGGCTGAGGAGAGGCATCAGGCTGAGGAGAGGCATCAGGCTGAAGAGAGGCATCAGGCTGAAGGCATCAGAGGCATCAGGCTGAGTAGAGGCATCAGGCTGAGTAGAGGCATCAGGCTGAATAGAGGCATCAGGCTGAATAGAGGCATCAGGCTGGGTACAGGCATCAGGCTGGGTACAGGCATCAGGCTGAAGTGCGGGTGCCGAGGCACCAGGCTGAACCACGGAAGGCAGGTTCTCAGACGGCAGGCTCACCGGTTTGGATACTGGCAGGATGGTATTGGTTGGAAAGAAATTTTCGCTTTTTTCTGGTTTTAACTACTGGAGCACTGCAAGTAAACGCAGGTCTGCAAACGAATGGAGCAGCTGGAGACAGAGAAGAGCTGGAGGATGGAACAGAGGAGGGAGCAGTTGCTACAGAGGGTTTTTTTACAGGGTTAAAGGCAGGATAGGTGCAGCGAGTGGGAACAGGGTACTGACATGCGGTAGATAGCAGGGCAGGAGGAGCTGTTGGGAATGCAGGAATAGAGCTTTGAGGAAATAGATTAGAAGCAGGACTGGGTTTTTTGTAAGCTGACTGAGGCTGGGTGCAACAAATCTGTCCATGTCTGCAGTATGGGTTGAACAAAGCTGAGCTTACACAAAGCCTGTCTGACCAAAGACTGCACTGCGTTTATACAATCTCTTAGTATCTGTGGTGAACATGCAGAATAATGCTCCAAGAAGCAATCCACATCATCCTCTAATAACCATACCAGGGACTCTACCTGGTCGGCACTAAATGGCGGCAAAAATTCATCCCTGCATTCGAGGGGTACCAGATGAAACCGACTTCGCACAAACCTGAATCAATGGCTGCACCCCAGAGAATTCTGTGCCCTGATCTACTAGAACATGAGCAAGCCGTATACATTCTAGCAGTTCATCCCGGGCATACTCCTTCAGAGTCTGATAAGCATACTCTCTGTCATCAAACACTAGCAGAGATAAATACACAACCTCATCAAGATCCATCCTTCCCATCAACAAACCAAGATGGCTTCCCTGTGCAGCCACTTCTGGTCAGGATTGGCCTTGGTGTAATGTCAGGGCTCCCGGGTATGACCAGAGGTGTGTGACTGACGCAGGGAAACGCAGACTTCAGATATGTTATAAACAAATAATTTATTAACACTAACAATACAAACATAAACGCAGTGCAATACTAAAACATAACACAGTGCAAACAAACCAAACCAACCACCCACAGATGACAGTACATACAATGCAAGCGTCGTCAGGCAGGCCGGGTCAATATCAATCGGGCAGGTAGGTACAGGGGGAGCAAGCGGAGAATGGTCGGGGTCACAAGCCAGGTTCAGCAGGTAGCGGGCAGCGTGGTACAGAGGGTCAGGCAGAGGGATGGTCAGGAACGAGCCGGGGTCAGAGCAGGAGATGTCAGCAGAGGTCCAGATCAGGCAGGGTCAGCAACAAGACAGGAACAGGAACAGGATGCAGGAACAAGATACAGGGCCCAGGAAAACCACACACACACCAAGGCAGAGTCTGCAGGTCTGGCCATCCCTTAAATACACCAGTATAAGCAGTTTCAGGTGTTTGGCTGGCTGCAAGGTTGAGTCTCTGATTGCTGGGAGCACCCGCTGGCCAGCCCTGGTACTGCAGCCCATACAGCAGGTGAGTCCCACCATTGCTGGCCAGTCCATTCCTGACAGAGATTGAGGAATATTACATGCTGAGTACTCTGCATTACACCAGGGAGATTCAGGATTATTACCTGCTGAGTACTCTGCATTACACCAGGGAGATTCAGGATTATTACCCGCTGAGTACTCTGCATTATACCAGGAAGATCGAGAATTATTACCTGCTGAGTACTCTGCATTACCCCAGGGATAGCAGGACTATTACCTGCTGAATGCTCTGCTTATACTCGAGGCTCAGGAGGAGCACCCTCTGCTACACTGCCTGGTACTGTGGGGCCAGGATTGCCTGTGCTGCTGTGTGCTGGAAATACCCGCTGTGTGGATCCTCTGCTGTGTCCTAAGAAGTATCACAACTGGCTGTCGGGTGCTGTGAGCCAGGTAAAACCCCTGTCAGAACTGTGAGTGTCATCTGCCCCTGTTTTCCCCTGTACGGACTGTCCGTGAATTTTCCCCCCTTACCCGTTCCTGCCTGGATTACAATTATTTTGGCCCTTCCCTGCTCCGGAGACGTGGACGCTACCCTCAGACCCAAATTGAGTGATTGTTATAATTCAATAAACCTTTGAGTGTTTATCATCTCCTCGGAGTGTTCTGTTCTGCCTACGCTCCGTCACAATGGCGTGACGGGGAGTGATATTGGGGTTATTCCCAGATTCATGAGCTGTACCAAGACTTTTGAGTTGTGAATATTTGGACAAGTTATGGCTCACTAGCCACTCTCCTGGCGCTATGGGGTCCTCACGGGCTTCCACCATAATGGCAGCTCCCTGTAGCTTCTTGGAGGGCTTCACCCAGGTGATGCCTTTGATCAGGATAGGCAGATTATTGGTCACTGTTCAGCAAGCAGGGGTCCAGTTTTTCCTGTGCCCCAAAACTCTGGGCATAGAAATCATATTCCATGACAGTGACCTCTGACCCAGTATCAGTCAGACATGGGACCACCTGGTCATTGCCAAGGACCAATACCACTGGAAATGGACTCCGGCTTGCTGGGACTTTGAGTTGCCTGTCCCAGGGGGGGGGGGGGGGGATCATCCCACTGCCCCAGAAACCACTAGTTTAATGACAGCCTGGGTGGTTTTTTATACTCAAACTGCTTACAGTGATTGGATATATGTCCATAGCAGTCGCACCACCAGCACTTCTGGTCCTCTTTGGGTCCCTCCCTAGTGGATCCTTGTCTCTATGGGATTGAGGGGAGTCTCACTCCTCCTTCAGATATAAAGGCTTGTATCTTTTGGTTACTGCCATTGTTTCTTCCGTATCCTCTAGCTCTCATGCAAACACGTCCACCGCATGGAAGGAAACAGTGGGTTGCATCCTGATTCTCTCCTGCAGGTCTCCCCAGACTGTGCCAGCTTTCATACCTACTATGAACAGGGCCCTCAGCATGTGGTCTGATGCATTAATGTCAGCACAGCCATGCACATCCCTCTTTTCAAGGATCCCCCAGAGGTTCTGCACTGCAACCACATAATGGGTGAGATTCTCACCACTCAGTGGGCGTCATCCTCTAGGGCAGGGTTTCTCAACCAGGGTTCCGTAGAACCCTAGGGTTCCTCCAGATGTTGCCAGGGGTTCCTAGAGAAATAAGCAATTTTTGCCTCTCAGGTAAGTTCCTACTGACACCGTTGATCTTTTTAGCAATCTGGTAATTCTTTCCAATGACCACAAGTGTAAGGAATATATTTCCCACTGATCATCACACTAATGTATCATGAATTATAGATAAAGTCATTTTAGCAGGGGTTCCCGGAGACCGGAAAGTTATACCAAGGGTTCCTCTGCATTGGAAAGGTTGAGAAAGGCTGCTCTTGGGCTTTAATAGTTATCTTCACAAAAAGCAAGGGTGGAACCTGGTACAGGTGCGATGGAGTAATTACACTGAGGCCGGTAGCAGGAACAAGAGCTTGTATTAAAGGAAAGGCTCAACTCAACAGACAGCCCAGTGGGGAGAGCACCATGCCAAGAAACACTCACAGTTGCGTGACTTGATAATGCAACAGGTTCAGATGTCTGTCTCAGAGAGCAGAATGTGGCCTGGCCATTGCGGTCCCAATGGGGAGACTTCCAAAGTAGAATGACGTGTCCCCAGCCTGACCTTCCTTATCAGGAACCTCTCCCTACCACAATCACTTTCCCTGAAAGACAAGTGCTCTTTCCCTCTCCTATCCACTTTGCAAAATGCATGCCAAAATCTGGGACAGGGCCCTAAAAAGACTCTGCTGACCCATGATGCCCACCAGGGGTCACTTAAATACAGCGTAGCCAACCAGAACACTGTCTCAGGGGACCAGGGGACCATAGAGAAAATAGGTTTCTCTGACTTCCTCTACAGCTGCAGTACCGCTCAGGTCAAGTGCCATCTACAGTGGAGCAAGCAGACTGCACTTGCCTACAAGCGGGATAATAAAAAAAAAAACTGAATGGATTCCCCCATCCACACAAAGGAGATGGGTGGAGTAATCCTCCCTACTGTGTTATTGTATTCTGACAGAGGGGACTTCTCCACGTTCAGAATACACTGATCAGTGCTGAAAATGTTTTAGATTATTAGACTTACTTCTTAGAAATGGGAACAGTCACAGTTGGACTGAAATTTGGCCAGCCCCTGCTTAACCAGACAAATTTCAATCCATCTGTGGCCAGCTTTACACAGTTAGGCCCCTTGCACACAGGGCATCTAGCTGCTCTACTTGGATCCCAGCATTTTAGTGTGCCCAGGAAGCACAGGTGCAGCACGCAGCCCTGCTAGCGGCAGTCTGTTAAAGTCGAGGGGGACCTGCAACTGCGCAGGGTTCACTCACATTTAGCACCTTATGCGTTCAGAAGACCTGCATTCCAGGCATCCAGCCTAGAGTTTATAAGGTCCAGACAGCCACTTGGTACAGCATTTAGCCCCATCCAGGTGCTGCAATAAGCTTTACCAGGCTGCAGGCAGCTGGACTAAAAGCTGCACCTGTGCCTTCCGCATGCACTAAAATGCTGGATGATGTACGCACAGCAGCTAAGCGCCCTCATGTTGGCCTTACAAAGGTGAACACTATTGGATTCTCCTTTCTGAAAAAGAAAAGTTTAAAAAAAGAAAAAAAAATGAAACTATAAAATTCACGATTACCATCCATACATTATTTTAAAGAAAAGTACTCTGGATGACGCACATGCTTCTTACAAGTATTTCTACAAGCATATCCACATTACTCATGAATCATTAAAACACAAATGGAGAAAATAGCATTGCTGTGGGCAGCCTTCATGACAGATCAAACTATACTATTTTCGTGTAGTGAACACATTGCCATTTCAACATTTAGTGTAAAACATACCTAAAGCAAAATCTTTTTTTATTTTTGGATAGAGTGAAGAAGGAATTGAACACCTGTCAGATTTTTATTGCTGTATGTGCTTACCTTAGGGAGATTCATCAACCTCATTTGTCCTGCTAAATGCTACAACCAAAAGTGAAAGAAAATCCCAAATTATGGGTTATCACCAGAGCAGTAATAGAGGGGAAATCAGGGCTCACTAGTTCTGGTGACAAGGGATTCCCTCAATTTGGAATTTCCTCTC